TTAAAATTTACCACTGAATTCTTAAGTTACAAAATTCAAAAGCAGTATTGTAGTAATTCCATAGATACAAAACTGGTAAATAGGCATCTGCTGGTGTGTACAGAACAGTCTGAGATGCATTAATCACAACATACGTACATGGCACAGCAGTAATGTACTGAATAAGTTAGTCTGCCACCTCCTCATGTTCTATTTACAACAGCTTACCTGAAGACTGCTTAAGGAAAGGATAGATATGTATAAATCAACTGAAGAGGATCAAGAACTCCAGTTTTGGGATAATGGTAAAGCTAGCTGGTTAACAAACCACTAGGATGCTAGATAATTAGTGTTGCAGCAAGAATCTTAAATCCTGTGGCATGTTGATTTAAGCAATTTAGTGTCTTACCAGAAGTCTGGTCAAGAGGCACTTTTGTAAATTACTGGCATATTCATCTCTTCCACCCAATAAATCAGTGATTTAAGCAAAGTCTTCTAGAAGACAGACCAAAATCCACCCTGCCCTTTTCAAGCCTGACGGAAGTGGAATGAAGAACTGAAGACTCTACAGCCAGGAGCAGCTCTTTTGGTAAGTTCAGCAACAGCGTTTTCTTTCCTGCTCCATTTTCCTTTCATTTAAACTTGATTGATTTGATGTTACAGATTACTGGGGAACAAGGAGAATTAAGGTTTTACTCTAACAGTGAAGTTGAACTGTGGTATCTATGAACTTTTAGTGTACTTCACAGGCATTAATCTAACACACTTCTGCATTCCTTAGTTGGTTGTCCCTTGTCTGTAGAGGCCGCTTTGTACAGGGAATCTTTGCAGTCAACCGTAATGCCCCAAACCCTTCGGCATATTCTAGCTAGCACATGGTGTGGGATTAGTACAGTGCTCCTCCCCACAGCAGTGCGCAACTCTTAATTCTGGCATTTTAATTTGATAGCATGGGGGGGGGACAGGACAGCTCACTTCTAAAAGCTGAAGCACAGCAAACCATCTGATCTTCCATAGCAGAAACCACACTTCCTCTTAAATAGGAAGCTCTTGTGCTACAAAAGAATCCTGTCGAAGTTAAGGCTTTTCCAGTTGCTTCCTTAGACAACTAGGGTTTGTCCTGGTCTCCTGAAAGCCATGACTACAATAGTCTTACCATGTACCTGCAGGGAAGACTTTAGAGAAGCACTCTGCTGAGGGGACTAGAGTTTTACTACTGCCAGTTACACCAGAGGAAGGAAAGAAAAAAAATAGTGTTTACCACAGTTAGGAACATGCACTCCTTCCAGACAACCTGTTCAGGTCTCATATTCGCTTCTTTGATTGGTATCAGTCTATATATCTCCCTCCCCAACCCTTCCCCAACTTGATGATTGATTAGGACATCATGGACTGTTGCACAGCCTTCTGCAGAGATTGCCTGGTCACCAGCAGCCGTACCACCTCTTCGTTCCTTTTTGTCAGCCTCTTCCTAGCTTGGTCGTGAGTCACCATTGTCATATCCCAGCCGTTCACCTAGGGGAAAAGCAAACATAAAATGAGGCAGGTGAATGGACTCACAGGTGTCCTATAACTGTTCTGTTGGAACTATGGAGTAGACATGCTTATGCCACAGCTCAGTTTGTTTATAAGCCTCACAAACCATCCTGGAAAGTACCCAGAAGACAGTATTTGGGCAAGGAAGCTGGTGAGGGGTCTGGAGCATGAGTCTGATGAGTGGCTGAGGGAGCTGGGGGTGTTCAGCCTGGAGAAGAGGCTGAGGGGACACCTTATCACTCCCTACAACTGCCTGACACGAGAGGGGAGCCAGGGGGGAGGTGGGGTCAGTCTCTTTTCCCAAGTAACAGATGATAGGATGAGAGGAAATGGCCTCAAGTTGCACCAAGGGAGGTTTAGACTGGATATTAGGAAAAACTTCTTCGTTGAAAGGGTTGTCAGGCACTGGAAGGGGCTGCCCAGGGCAGTGGTCAAGTCCCCATCCCTGGAGGGATTTAACAGACAGGCAGACGAGGTGCTTGGGGACATGGTTTAGTGGTGGACAGGTACAGTTGGACTCAATGATCTTAAAGGTCTTCTCCAACCAAATGATTCTATGATTTCCCACAGCAGAAACTTCTCTGCAGTGTGCACTTAGTACTACATTAGTACAAGTCTTATCCTGGTGTTTACCTGCATGATCTTATCTCCAATCTGAAGCCCTGCAACTTCTGCTGGGCCTCCTTCTGTCACCCTTGTTACATAGATACCCTGGAAAAAAATTAAATGTTCATTTACTAAATATGGCAGCATTAAATACTCAAGGGCCATTCTACTAACAATGCAAAAATTCTTTGTAGTATATTATGGGATTCTAGTTGAAAACAGGTTTGTGCAATGCTAGAAAACAGAAAAGGAGGAGAGCCAACTTGAAACAAGCTTAGTCTGCAAATGGTAATGTGGCAACAGAGTGACCTTAGTAGTCAACTAAGTGAGAGGACAGAATACAGGCGCCAGCGAGCAGAGCTCGCCGGTGAGCTGGATAGGCTCAGCCTTGTGCAGAGGCAGTTGCTATTGAAAACAAAGGGCATCTGACCTTGTCGGTCTTGTCCTCGGAGAAAGGGTTCTGAGTAGGATCCTGATCAATGCCACCTCCAATGCTGAATCCCAGAATCAAGTTGTCACCTTGACGAAGCTTATGTATTTCAATTCTTTGCTGAAGAGAAAAAAAGATAAAATAGCTGAATATTGTGATCACTGAAGAAATCTCAAGTGTGTTTCAGACACACGTACTTAAGACCCAGTTAGACTGTCACAGAAATAGTGTAAACCTACAAGAGCAGGCCACATCACACCTTGGTAAGCTTACGCACGGTAAGCAGACAGCTCTGAAACCCCTTGGCAGCACGGAACTATCACAGGGCATTTGCTGTCAGACACAGGCAACCTTGGTGTTGACAACAGTTGGCTCTGAACTGTTCTCAGCCCCACCACTGGACAGCAGGACAGGAAGCCATCTGCCAGCTCATCCCAAGGGTGCTCATGCCGTGATACAGCCAAGCTCCTTAACTGCTCGGTGCTTTACCACTGCCTGGAGATACAAGGGGAAAAACACTAAAACCAGAGCAGGTCTCTTCAAGCAGGCATCACGTCACTCCTAGCTAGACCCGTCTTGCTCTTTATCCACATGCCCTGTGTTCCTGCCTAGCCTTATCAGTGAAAATAACAACCTATTATTAGGATGGCTCTCTTTCAAGATAACTTATCAACATAGTTGTGTAATCCAGAGGCGGGTTCCTTGCTGTCTGATGACCGCAGGCATCTGACAGGCTTTACTCATTACCCAAGTACTGTTTAAATGCCAGCTTGTGCAATTATCTTGAGCTGAGATAAAAACCCACGGTCTTAACTGAAACAGTAACCACTCGGAATGTTCTCCTCCAACAGCCCTGTCAGATGCTGAGCTTCCCAAGGGCGCTGGGCTCAGGCTTTTACTAGGACATAGGACAGCATCCATATCCTCAGGGTCATCTGCTCTTACGCAGCTGGGAGTGGCACAGCATAACCCAAAGTACAATTAAATTTAGCGCTCTAACTAGCGGAAGAAACACCAGAGCCCCTCGCTTGCACCGTTTGTTGATTATAGCAATAAATTTACTGTAAAAGCTCTACTTAAACGCGGGTGCTTGTCCTGCCCAGATCGCCCCCCATTGCTCGCAGCGGGGGGCGCTGAACGAAGCGCTCGGGGGCAACGGGGGAGCCCAGGCCGCCTGCGAGA